TCGATTCTATACTTTTCAGATATCCATATTGTAGGATGATCCATATTGTAGGATTGTAGGATTATCTGAAAAGTATAGAATCGAAAGTATCCATATATATACAATATATAACTGACTTCACCCCTTGTTTGAATATTTATTGATTTCATCATAATACTCAGTATTATATAAAGAATGTATAAGATATAAAATAATTACTCCTTAAATGGTTTACAAAGAGTTTAAGATCTACAGAACATTAACGACATTTGACAACTTACAAATGCGAATCTATTCCGTAACCTTAAGTGAATAAGCAGTGCAGCAGTTGATGTTACGAAATTTTCAGCTCTGCATGTGCCAAATACACCTGTCAATCACTCAGTCTGACTAACTATTTATCTAGTATATGACAACTGCGACTATATGAATTTCGTATAAACGAATTTCCCCAGTGCTTAGTCGTGCATTTACATTCACTTAACCCCACAGACACAACTGTACCAAAAAAAAGAACAAAGCTACCCAAATGAAGGGCATACAAAAATGGTGCACTCTACACACACACACACACACACACACACACACACACATGTGCACACAAATGAAATGAAAGAGTAAAGAAAAACACATACTTAGCCGTACGAAACATACGTGAAAATAAAAAAAAAAAGTTTGCCACTCAAAGGCAGACGCCCAGAATGCAGCCTGGCACACGTAGACAGCAGCCAGGGCGGCAGCAGAGCTCCGTTTGGTGTGGATGGGTGGCCATGTGGGAGTATGTGTGTGTGTGTATGTGTAGGTGTGTAGACAACTGGTAACAATAACGGTATTTTCGATGCGGAGCAGCGGCAACGTCGACGTTGACGAAAAGGACGCGCAGGATGAGAGTTGCTTGTCGACGACGAGTTGCCAACAGCCACTTGACACTTCCGTCGTCACATGAATGGAGCCGTAAAAATGCGACGCTGCATTCGCTCCTTTTTTTACAGATTTTCATACACCCGCTCAACAGGGAATTGGGGTATATTTGCTGTGCCTAATATTTGTCTAGCTATGCATATGAAATCCATTCTAGCTATAGCATACGCCGCGCTAAGATACAACTAACAACTACTATTTCAATAGTATCCTACTAATAATCGCATTTCTTCTACTACTTTTTCTACTACTATTTTCCAATACCTGTAACTAGTATTTAGTAACTTCTACTATTGCAATAGTTTCCTGCTAATACTCTTACTTATACTACTACTACAATATCCTAATTCCACTATCCTACTATTATTATTGCTACTATTACCTACTACTATTACAGCTTACTACTACGATTGCTGTTATTTCTACTAGTACTACAATGTCCTAATCTACTAATCTTGTTGCGACTTTTACTACTACTACTATTACTACTACTCTTCTTATATCTACTACTACTATACCTTCCTACTATTTCAATTATTTCTACTACTATTTGTGCATCCTACAACTTACTACTACTTCCATTATTTCTACTACCATTAATAATTCCTACTACTATTTCCTACTTTCTACAAATTACTACTACTTCCATTACTTCTACTACCCTTAATAATTCCTACTACTATTTTCTTCTTCCTGCAACTTACGACATCTTCAATTATTTCTACTACTACTAGCATTTCTACTACAACTTTCTACTACTGCAACTATTATTTCTACTACTACTATAATTTCCACTACTACTATCATTACTTCTACTACTATTCTACAAGTATTAGTACTATTACTCAGACTACTTTGTTTACTACTATCATCATTTCTAATACAACTTTCTAATGCTACTACAACTATTATTTCTACTACTACTATAATTTCCTCTACTACTACCATTACATCTACTACTATTCTACTAATAATAGTAATATTACTCTGACTACTTTGATTACTACTACTATTTAAAGATTTTTGTTTGCTAGCGAAAGATGGCTCTACCGGTAGAGGCGAAACAAAAGTTCTTCGCTAGCGAGTATTTCGCAGTCGGTTGCCTGAAATCACAGCGTACTTACCAGCTTTTTTCTGTTATATTTCGTTTATGTTTCCTCCTTTTTTTGGGCCAGTCGAGGGCAACGTTTTTATTTGGGCAGCAATATGAATGGGAGCGCTTGTGCGAGTATGTAAAATTAAGCAAATACATTCATGCATAATTTTTATGGCACGTCGGGGGACAAGAAATGACTCTTTCACATCGTGTAGTATGTATGTACAGATGTATGTATGTATGTATGTATGCATGTACATTTGGGATGCCAAAACGTTTTATGAACACGTTTCTCCTGGCACTTAATGCAAGAGTTTACAAGCCACCTAGAGACATGGCATGGCAGGGGATAGCACGGAATGGCATGGCGTGGCATGGCATGGCATGGCATGGTAAGCTGTGGCTGGAGGCATGGGCTATGGAGTCATTAGCGCAAATTCACAGCGATGATTAGTTAAAAGCGGGACAGAGACAGAGACAGTGCCTAGAGAGAGAGAGAGAGAGAGATAGGGAGAGTGAGATAGGGAGAGTGAGAGAGAGAGAGAGAGAGAGACTGGTCAATGCACGCCAAAATGTAAAATGGGCCGGGCGCCAAGGTAGGTCAGCCAGCGAATAGGGCCCAAATGTGTTGAAGGCTTCTACTTAGCGCATGGTAAACAGCACAGAACATGGCCCAAGGAGTAGCCCGCCAGGGGCGTGGCTGCTGCAGCAGGCGGCGGGGGTGCACTGTGTGTGCAGCGTTGCATGCGGCGCAGCACGCACTTGCAGCCTTGCCGCACGGCGCAGCAAACAAAACTGGGATCGGCTCTTGCGGCTGCTGTTTGTTTTTTTACTAATTTTAAATACCCTCTCAAAGGGGGAATAGGACTATGCATCTCAATATGTATGGGGCTTAACTATAAAAAAATATTGGTAGAAAAAATCAGATATAAAAGAGAGTTTTCTTTAGCTTCTTTTCTATATTCTGAAATATACATTGAAAGTTTTTTTTCTCAAAATTCTAACTGAGGAGAAAAATTTGGAATAGAATCATAAAAGAGACTGTCAGATTATTTATTATATTATATCTAAGCTGATATGCTATATATAAGCTTTGTCTTCAAGTTTAAAGTTGAAATGCAAAAATAAATATAGCATAGAAATTTAAAGGAAAAATAATGGAATTTTATATTTAACTTTTAGTTAAAAGACATTCTGAACTTTAAAAAATATATACATAGGCTATAAGAGTCAAAGGGTATTCAGATTTCGGCTTTACTCAAACTGCTTGCTTCCTCTTGTTCTTGGTTATGATTGACTGAGTTCTGTTGAAACTTTGGCGTCTGCTGGCACGCATGAATTACAATTTTCGAGTAACGAAAACCGCATGCACCTACACACACACTCACAAAGAGAAAGAGAGAGGAATAGAGAGACCTAAGCACTGGGAGTGCTACAATTAGCACTTTTTACACTTGGCTGTTTGGTTATTTCAAGTGGTTCTGATAAAAAAGCAGCTGAAAACGGAAACTCCATCAACAGTTTTTTGCCTTGAGCTAGGCGCTTGAACCCACCGCCAGCAACCACGCACCCGCTGACCCACCCGCACTCACCGCTGCCGCCCAGCTTTGGCATGATTTCAGGTAGCAAATCGTTTAGCGGCCTAAAAATGACACTGTCCGCCTTTCGAGTAGTTCTTCTTCTTTTCGCCGATAACAAAGTTTGCTCAAAAATGGCGCCCATAAAAAAAAAGAAGAAGAAAGCCAGAAAAATGTAAAGCCCAAAAGCAAAAGCAAAGCCTATTTGCAGACCGCATTCTCAGTCTGGCCGCTAGAGAACTGCAGAGAGCTCTGAGTGCGTTATAAGGTAAACATTTGTTTTTACTTTTTCATTTGGCAAATAACATAAAGCAACAGCAAAAAAAACCGTTGAACTCGGTGAACAGAGTCAGCTAGAAGGAGAGAGAGTGAGATAGAGAGAGAGAGAGAGAGAGAGAAGGATATACAATGCATCGAGTTGGAGATAGGCATAGAGAGATAGTGAAGAATGAGTATTAAAGTCTTAGCAAAGAATTACAGTTAATTTAGATATGATAGAAACCACTTAAATTCAGATTGTGTATATATAACCGATATATAGCAGTTATAACAAGATATCCTATAGTTTTGAGACTTTCGTATTCATTATCGAAATTGAAATGAGTATATTAGTTTGGGCAACGTCTGTCTCTCTGTCCGTCTCTCTATTCTTCTGTCTACTGAGCCAGGGTTTTCGCAATGCGACTACTGGAGGCATATCTACGTTCATTGGAGCCGTGGCAATTTAAAAATCCCAACGTGAATGAGTATTCAGCAGTCGATCATGCCCAACTGCAACTTTTTTTCTGACTATGTTTGGTTAATATTGTTCTCATATATATGCACATGTACATATTAATATATCTTTAAAATATATCCATTGAGTTTAAATATAAATAATAAATATTATTCCGAGTGTGGAAACTCTTTTTTCACTTCCTTAGAATAAATAAACAACTCCAATCGAAAAACCATGCAATTCCAATAACAAAAAATTATCACACCGTTTCCAAGAAATGCCCAACCCAACCCAACATTACACCCACACCCACACACACACACACACACACACACACAGAGAGAGAGGCGAGCGATTTAGTCGTGGCGTCTGACGATCTACAAGTGCTGAAAAGTTGATTGCACTGCGTGCCAGAGTTTTGCTAAAGCAAATATTGTTTAATAACATTTTTAAAAATAAAATTTACTGATTACACGCGCGACTGCCACAACGACAACGACAACGACATCGAGAACGCCAGCGTCGGTGTCAGCGAGGCAACCAGTGGGACATCGGCCTCGGACCTATCCCAAGACAAAATACAACCAGAACAACAACAACAAAATTGAAATAAAAATAGAAATGAAACAAAAAATTGATATGCCCCACACTCGTGTGGCTCGGAGAGGTTTACTGCTGTGAGATATCAGAAAAGAAATTATGTTTTAAAAAATTTGACTCATTTTGTTGATGCGACGTCGCATCACACCACTAACCGCATATTGCGTCCCACCTGGATAAAATGCATAACCTCCATGATCAGAATGAATATCAGAAAGTTTTCGAGCGACTGCCGCAACAGCGTGTAGACCACTTGCTCGTTCTGCGAGCGATCGCTAGAGACCCACACCAGATAATCATCGCCCAGGGCATCCTGAATCGAGCGATTCGTATACCTATAGGGATACAACAGATGCACTCCAATCCGCCAGAACAGCACAAAAAATATGCTGGGACTGTTTGCCATTCGATTATCAATTCGATTTGGAGAGAGCACTTTCTTTACACACTTACGCCATGTCCAGCCTTAGGGCAGCAGCCTTTTAATTAATCTGCCTTCCCCTGACTTTATTATGTTTGTTGGCTTTTTTCCCTTTTGTTACTTGTACAATGAAATTTTGTATATGCTTACGTCCAATTCGTAAAAAGGCTGCTTTTGTAAACAGTTTGAGCATATATTTATTTATATACTTTATATATGTAATATAGATAAAAATCTTTGATTTAAATTTCAGCTTTTGAACGATTTCAAAAGGCCGTTATTTAGCTGGTTTGAGACCTAGCTAAAGTGTTAGCTAAGACAGCACATGCCAGAGCGAGATAGCTGCATGAGTTGCGCTGAGTTGTATAGCAAGCAGCTTTAGAAAGCCGCATTTAAAAAGTAAAAGTGAATGAATATAAAAATTAAAAGCAAATAAATAACACATATAAGAAATACAAAAATATATGCTGCATTTACTCAGACAAGGCAATTAAAGTGGACCAAGGACCACACACTACAGTATAATCACAATCCTTAGGCAGCTGCTGCATAGCATTAAAACTATCCAAATAGGCCGATTTGGGCGGCTGCTGACCAAGTTGTCCGTGTGCACACCAGCCACTGGCCCAGAGTCGACCACAACGGCGCTGGATGAGCGTGTGCCGTGAGCCTGCGTAAGCCTTTACAGGAGCACACAGATCAGCCTCTGCCTCAACTGCTGCACAGCATGCTGGCAAATCCTGCAATTGGGGCAAAGGATAGACCGTGGGCTCCTTAAGCAGCCCATCCGGTTTCATGACGCGCATGCCCAGCTGTCCATTGCAATTCCAGCCCCACACATAGAGATCGCCAAATGCGGAGATAGCTGCACTGTGCCAGCCACCGGCCGCAATGTGTGTTATCTAGCAAATAGGCATTAGTTGAATAACGAAGATAACAAACTGACATACTGACAAAATTAGTCATGAGTCTATTTGCTCACCTTAATGCCCGCCAGTGGCTCGAGTAAAAGCGGACGCTCCTCCACGCCCAAACTGTCGTGACCCAGTTGCCCACGTCTGTGAAGTATGCAAATGCCTTAAATCTTAGTCAAATTAACGATAGTGAAATCTTACAGTCCGTTGCCCCAACTGTAGACATCGCCATTGCCGTTCAGTAGCAGCGCGTGCTCGTGTCCACACTCCAGCTGCCGCACTCGCCACGAGCCCTGCGAAAAGCGATGAAGGCAACTGGGTATGCTGTACACAGCATTCCCTGCACTGATGGCCACATTGATGTGCGAGCCACAGGCAATGTGGGTGATGGAGATTTCCTCGGCTTCCTTGGCCTGGCCAAATATGTTTCGCTTTGCAGGAGGTGCTTCTAATTTGACGGCCTGCAGTGTAGCATTCAACTCCGCTCGCAGCTTATATAACTGGCCATTCTGTAGCAACACCAAGCAATGGGCATCGCAAGCAGCCAAAGCTGTAATCTCTTCAGTTGCCTGCACTTCCAAAGTTTCTTCTGGCTTGTCGGCTAGCAATCCTTGCAGCCACAGTTTCTTGCCCACAGCATAAGCCGTGTAACGCCAGCTCAGAGCAAGTATTATTCTCCCATCGCTATCATCCGACAGACTGATTTCTACCAAGGATTTAAACATACAAAATTAGCATTTAATTTGAGCACGTATCAACTTGTTGCACACTTACGAACCGGTTAGGGCATTGACTCGACCGGAAGTGCGTTCCGTGTTGCTCGCATTGTGCTGACCAAATGCATTGAAGCCCGTAAATAGCAACCGTCGTCCCATCTTCCGCTTCTCGGAGAGCGTTTGCGCAGCGGGGCGATTCGATTCGAAGCGGGGCGCTACCTGCGTCTGCTCTGTTGCTCTATTGTGTTTGGTCGACCGTTGTTCAGTTGCTAGCTAGCATTGCACCTGTAATGTTGTCGGCGATTTTGGTGGTGGTTTTTAATCAGTTTTTCAAATTCGAGTGCTAGAGTTCAAATTAATTTAACCGATCGTCGCTGAGCGTGCCAGTATTGTTATTGTTATTCATCAAAATGGTAGGTTGTACGCCCACTCATTCCATATCGTTGAGCAAACAAAGGCTTGAATAATTGTAGTTTTTTGTAATATTATTAAATCGCCTCAAATTATCCAATTTATAATTTGTTTATTATTTGTTGTCGTCATGGCAACTTGTGCATGTGAGCATATCGATAACTGACGCTCATTGCCAGCTGTTGCTGAAGAAGTGTGACCAGCTGTAAAAGCTCGATAGCTCAAGCGATAATATCGATTTGCATAAAGCGCGCCCGTTAAACGAGATTCAAACGTGAGAGCTTTAATGTTTAGCTCATAATGTTTAGCTGCAGTAAATTCATTCATTCATTTACTCTTTAAATATTCATTTTATTTACATATTTTTGTATATAGGGTCTACTTTCGCTGCTGCGCAAACTGCGACCCAATCCAGAGAAGGAGGCTCGTATTTTGCTGCTCGGCTTGGACAATGCAGGCAAGACAACAATTCTCAAACAGCTCGCTTCCGAAGATATAACAACGGTGAGTATTATGGAACAGATGCGTTCTTGCTTTCCTAATAGACTTTCCAATCATTCGCAGGTGACGCCTACCGCCGGTTTTAACATCAAATCCGTTGCAGCAGACGGCTTCAAATTGAATGTTTGGGACATTGGCGGTCAATGGAAGATTAGGCCCTATTGGAAGAACTATTTTGCCAACACAGATGTCTTGGTAACCAAGCCAAAGAAACTGATAGTCATCAGCTACTCTACAATGCTCTTTTTACTCTAATCAGATCTACGTTATAGACTGCACGGATCGGGCACGTCTGTCGGAAACAGGCAGCGAGCTCTTCGAGATGCTCATGGACAATCGATTGAAGAGAGTGCCGCTGCTGGTCTTTGCCAACAAGCAGGACCTGCCCAATGCCATGAGTGCCTCCGAGGTGGCCGAAGCGCTGGGTCTGGTGCGTCTGGAGGAGCGCAGCTGGGAGATCAAAGCCTGCACAGCTGTCGATGGCACTGGCATCAAGGAGGGCATGGATTGGGTGTGCAAGAATATGAAAAAATAATTTAAGCAGAAGAGGAAAATGTTTAATTCAAATCAATGCAAATGTGAATATTGTTTTGTTAGAAAAGAAAACGTAATTAAAAGTGTCCTTAAATATTAACTCATAAACTCTATGATTGAAAAGTTTTAGCCTTGTAGTATACAAATCTAAGTAGCTTAGAAGCTCGTATATGGCTAACACTTGAAAAAAACACAAACAAAAACAAAACAATCAAATAAATTTCCAAGCTATACAAAGTTATGACCACGCTCCTGGGCAAACTGCGCAAAGCGCCCAAGCCGGAGTTCAATGTGCTCATCCTGGGCCTCAACAATGCGGGCAAGAGCACCTTGGCGGCACGTCTCGGCCTGGAAACCGATGATGCCGTAAGAGCAAACTGATCTTTGATACCATATCATCTATTATATTTATACACGTAGGTCAAGCAGGTTACTCCGACGGTTGACCTAACAGAAAGGCATTTGAAATTTAAGAAAATGAAAGTTTGTTTGCGTGATTTGAGTGGTCAGTATAGAAAGCGTAAGTCGTGGCACACATTCTATAAGGATGCCAATGTATTGGTAAGTGGCACATCCTAGTCCTAGCCCAGTCCATACACTTCATTATAATTCTTGGCAGATCTTTGTTATCGACAGCGCGGATGCATCTCGCCTGAGTGAGGCACGCTGTGAGCTGTGCGAGGTTCTGCTGGATGAGCGACTCTCGCATGTGCCGCTGCTGCTTTTGGCCAATAAACAGGATGCCTTTGGTGCTCTGCCCGGCTCCATGATTGTTGAGCTGCTAGGCCTGAATCGCATCGAGGATCGTCCTTGGAAAATATACGAATGCTCCTCACTGGCAGGTGTGGGCATCGATGTGAGTGGAGATTTATAGAATATATAGTATATATTAAATATATATTGAACTGTTTCTGCACCTTAGAGCACCGTTGATTGGATCTACGAGCGATTGAAGAAACTGCGGCCAGCTAGTCTTTTTAGTAGGTTTTTTACTCCTTATTTTTTGTTTGGGCCCACATGTTTGTTGGATCGTCGACCACGGGGCATGGACGATTAATAAAATTTATGTAACTGGCACACATCGAATAATCTATTATTCATTTCGAATTCAATTCGAGCAACAACAACTACAGGTCGAAGAAGAATGACAACAAATAGGCCATGGCACACATCTGGGCAAGAAGAAGAGAATTTATACTGAGTTTAAATACATTTCCTTTCGATAACTAAAAATTAATGTTGCAACATTTATTTTGGATTTAAGATGTTCTCAACAACGAAATTTTAATACTCTTACAAAAACAGATTATCTTAATGTTAACTTGAATCAGCTGTAATATTACAATACGAAATGTAGCTAAAACCCCAATTCAAATAAATGTACAAAAATGTTGAACTTGACTTGTAATAGACTCAGCAAAGCTCTATCTAGTATATTTGTTTTTGCTTTTAGCTTCGATGAGCTTTAATAACAGTTCGAAAATGTCGTTAGAATTGTTGTCATGTAATTCTATTCCGCAAGGGTAAGCGTGTGTGTGTGCGTTAACTTAGCATAAAGAACGAAAGAGAAATAAAGCTAAAGCATTGACTTTGACCACGCCACTGCGAGAAGAGCGACACACTAAGAATGTGTGTGTAAAAAGAAAGTGGGTAGAAAATATAAACAAAGTTAAAAGCCAACAACACTGCCATAGAACAGCGCAAAAGTATTTCTACACAAAAAAGTATTATACACACACACGCACACACATCATGTACGTGTTTATGCGGGCAGCAAACTGACGTGGACGGCCCAGCACACACAAGGCGCAGGCGTGAAGAAGCTTAAGGCCAAAGAGAGTAGGAGAGACAGAGTGAGATGGAGAGAGCGCGCGTGATCAAAGCAAAAGGAGAGCGCGCACAGCGAACACAGCTGTGCTCGAGGTCGAATGCAACATGTTGCATCGGCCCAGACGAGCGACTTAAGAAGTGTTACACACTGACTTCGAAGCACAGAAGAAAGAAAGTTTTCGTCTGGGTTGGCTGTGTTTGCTGCGCTACGGGCTTGGACACGGGCATACCTACATACACATATACATATACATATATAGTATATGTTTATTCATATTTTACTGTAGCAGCATAAGAAACGATTTGGGATTTTGTCTACCAATTTTTCAAGTCAGTGAAGCGTCGGTTGTGTTGTTGTTGTTGTTGTTTAATTGGCCCAGCAAGAAAAGAAATAATATATATACAAAAAAAAAAAGTATCTCAAGTGTGTGATTGTGAAAGTTCTTGCCGAAAAAATTATAAAGCAACAAAATGTATATGAAACGAGCGCTGCTTCTGCTGGCGTTGCTGTGCGCACAGCCGTTTGGCCATATGGCCGAAGAGGAGTCGAATCCATTGCTGGATATGGCCTCTGTCTTTATACAGGAGGCATTGTCCAATAATGGTGGCGGCGGTGGAGGCGGTGCGGCCGGCGGCGGTGGCGCTGGGTTGGCTGGAGTGGCATCCCTAATCGGCAGCTTCATGCAGGCCAATGGCAAAGCTGGAGGAGGCGGTGGTGGCGGTGGAGGAGCCGCCATGCAAATCCTTTCGGGCCTGGGCAGCATGCTGGCCAACAATGCACGTGGCGACAATGGAGGCGGTGGTGGCGGTGGCTTCGATCCCTCCATCATTGGCAATGTCCTAGAGATGTTCACCCAAGGCGATGACGAGGATACCGGCGATGCACAGAAGCGCAGCAACGGTGGCAGCAGCGGCGGCGGCGGCGGCGGTGCTGGCGCTGGTATTGGCCTGGACACCATTCTGCAAGTGGCATCTGCTTTTATGGGCAACCAAGGTGCTTCCGAAAAGCCCGCCACTCTCCCACATCAGAAGCAAAAGAGAGCCGTCAAGGAGGAGGAACCGGAGACAGAGAATGGCTTCATGAATCTACTGCCACTAATCATGCAGGCAGTCAGCTCCTTTGCCGGACCCGAGGGTCAGCACACACAAGAGCGCCATAAGAGCCATGCCTGGGTCCTGCCACCATTCCTGGAGCATGTGCACGTGCTGTGGGACCATTTCTCCAACTCCGAGCTCGCGGATGCGCTGTACGAGAAGTCGGGCGTCAACAAGATAATGAAGGTAAGTGACATATTCCAAATTTTATTATTACTCGGAAAAAAACGAGGGTCAAATGAGAGCGCTGTAATATGACATCGATTACTTATTCATCGATATATGTATATTTCCTATTTGTTTAAAGGGCTTCAAGGGTCGCGATGGCAAAGTCGATTACGATAAACTGTTCGAGTCACTGAACAATCAATCCTTCCGTCGTCGCTGGATCAAATCGGCCACTTTGTATTTGGCTGACTGGGCCAGCTATATAGCCAATCCGGAAAACTATCTCAGGTGAGCGTTTGCCGGGTGATCGATGCGTGTTAATTGTGGAACACGATTCTCTGTCTTAACGGTATTAAGCTGTTTAGCACCCTAATGTGATACGATTCTAACTCTCAGCGATGCTTACGTCTAATTGCAATACAAAGGCGAGTACGCAACAGCTGCGTGCTGCTGTTGTTGTATCTGCCTGTTGAATTACCGTTAGCTGCTACCTGTTTGGCATCGAACATGTTTGAAGCCAGCTCGCTTGCGCGCTCACTTACCTTTTGACACACTTTTTTAGTGCTGGCAGCTTTTAGAACATGGTTGTTAATCTGACTGGTCAACAACAATAAGAAGAAGAGAATGTAGAAGAGGAGAAGAGAGAATTCAAGTCCAAATCCAATTGCAGGCTTCGCTTTTTCGGATTTGGGTGTGCGCGCACGCGTACATGAATGTGTGTATATGTGCGAGTGTGTGTCGGCTTGCATGTCTTCGAGTGTGTGTGTGTGTGTGTGTTGTGTGTTACAGTTACAACGACGATGGCATCATTAAGCATACAAATAAACCATACGAATGCCAGAACGGTTCATTTAGTATGCATGGTTGTTGTTGTTGCTGTTGGCAAAACCTGTTTGGATGAGGAAGTGGGCCAAAGGCAAAGTAAATACTTGAAAAAGCGCCGAGCCGCGAGTATTTGGGTCAAGCTGACTCAAGACTGAATAAAAATGCAAAATTTTTGGCAATTATATTAATTATACACGCCCCCGCTTATCATCAGCATATTATCATCAACAGCATCGTCATTATTATGATCATCATTGTTATTAGACAACAATAATAACTTCCACTTTCTAGCGGCCCTTTCACTCGAATAATGCTGCGTCAGCATTATATGAGCAACTATTTGATTTTCCTTTTCTTTTTTCATTTTTTATCTTATTGCTTTTTGCACTTTCCACAGATACTTCCAGACGGCGCAAATCATGTTTAACGGTCTATTGAAGTCTCAAGGTTATCCCAAGCAGACCTATTTCGATCCGGCACGCCCCAGCGAAACCATTTCGAATCTCTTAAACCACGTGGCCAAACACCATTTGAATGTGAAAATTGATTCGCGTCAATACGTGAAGCCCGCTGTTGGCTATGCCAAGGAGCTGCTCAAACTGGGCCAAGCACGTGGTCTGCTGCAGTTCAATGCCACCGAGATCAGCGATCGATTGACGGATACGCTCAACCTAGAGGTAAGTTCATGCCACAGAACCGAATTGGAAAACAGAAAACGAATCAAAGCCAAGCAGATAGCACAAATGCAATTAATTACGCTACAACAAATTTTCTCTTTTCCCATTTTTCTTCTGTTTCTACGATTGCTCGATAAACGCACGAAAACAGGTTATCGAACCGGTGCTAAAAGTCCATCGCGCCTACAGATTCATCTCCAAGTCGCCGCAATGCGATCGCTATGTGCTTTGTGAGCTAAATGCAGCCGCTCTCGAACAGCAACAGCAGCAGGAATCGAAGAAATCGACGAAGACAACAGCCGGCGGTCTCATAGCCGGCGTTAGTCCGAAAATCGTTAAGATCGGCAGCATGGGTGCCGCGATCTTCATTAGCACTGAAACCGGTACACCATTCTGGACGCTGTTCGGTGTAATCAATGCGCCATATAATTGCGAGGTGAGCATCCGTCTCTATAGCCATTACAATTGTTGTTACCGTTATATATTTGGTATTTGTTTCGCTCACCTCACCCCTCCAGGCTAAATATCCCGTCGACTGCAACGGCTTCCACGAGGGCGAGGCCAAGGTGACCACAGAATACGTGCACAACGAGTTGTAGTTGCCCCAAACTACCAACGACGACTGCTAAGCGTGCTTATTAGAATGATATAGATGTAATTGAAATGATTAAATGATTTCTCAATGTAAATAGTATTACGAACGGCAATAAATCTTAATGTAACTGGAAGTCGTATGATGTATGTCTTGGTTGAGGATGTAAATAATCAAGTTTCAAGGTAACGAGGTAATTTATATTTGAATAATAGATCAAATTACTCTTTAAAAAACATATTCATATTACAAAAAGTAAAATATTTTATTAAATTAATAATAAAATCTAAGTATTTTCAAATAATCTAATTCTTATATAAAAATCGAATATGCAAATTTAAATAATAATAATTTTTAACAATGTATATTTAATTTTTGTATTCATTTTATATTCATATGTATAGCTTATCATATGTAATGTAAATTAAATATTAATTATATGCGGGAGATTTCATATATAACCTACTTATGGATCTATTAATAGAAGTATAAAATTTTTATAATTTTTAAATAAATAATTTAACATATTAAAAAAAAAAAGTATTTATATACATACTAATTTTTATTTCTATATACATACTAATTTTTTTATCATTAAAATATGTTTAGATTTTAAAAATTATTTTTATAGTTTCTATATGCATAGTGAATATATGTATATCTTCAAGTTCTTTTATTGAAAAATTCTTTACACTCATCTATTCTTTGTATACTCATTCATGAAAGTGACTTAGTATATTGTGTATCCATTGCTAAGTTCATTGAACAGCAAATCATTTAAGACTTTAAACAGATTAAATAGGTCTGCTTGCCCGCCTATATAATTAACTCTTCTTTTGAAGCAGATAAAAGTGGCACGATTCAAGCTACTTAAACTACAATAAAGATAATTCTGGGCATTTTAACGACAATTGAAAATCATTAACCTCTACGTAATACCATAAGTATCGGATACCAAATTAACCAAAACCAACCCCGACTAATGTGGGTGGGAGCCATACATACAAATCTGTTTGCTATAAAATCAAAGCTGATAAAACTGGTTTGATAAAAGTTGCTTGAACTGCAATATAGTTAATTTCAGGTACTTTAACGACAACTTAAATAATTAACCCTAACTGGATAAGTGCCTAGCTAGCTCTATTCCATGTCTCTTTGAAACATCATACGTACATAGTATAGTACCAAATTAAGCCGTAAACAACCCCAACAAAACGCCAGATAATGGGCGTGGGGTAAACCAACTTGGACGGATTTGTGCCGGGACATTAGACATTGAGCTTTAAGCATTGAGCGGTGAGCGGTGAGCGGTGAGCGGTGAGCACTTGGCTAACAATTTGAACTGCTGCAGCTAAAATTCGCGATGGCAGCGAACCGGTTTTTGTTTTTCGGTTGGTGCAAAAACAAGTTCATGCTGCGGAAAACTTAGATGGATTCCCGTTAGCCTCACTTTCACCGCACGCTTGGGCTGACTTTCCACTTGGCTGTTGCAGCCAGTCGTTGGCTGAAGGTGCAAAGAAACGGTAGCAACGCCATCATGCAGCTCACCTACCGGGAATTGGATGCGGATATAGTGCGTCGCACGAACGCCGTGTTTCCAGTGCAGGATTGCTTCGTGGAGGTGCTGCCCGATCAGCTAATAATACCACGCAAGTATATCGAAATGGGCGAGTCCATACGCGACTTGCCCATCTACAAGGATGATGTTTGGATGGTGTCGTACCCTCGCACCGGTTCGACATGGGCGCAGGAGATGATCTGGCTGCTGGGGCATCAGCTGGACTACGAGGCGGCCAAGCAGGATTTGCGCATGCGCGCACCCTTGATCGAGCTGTCCGCCCTGTTCAGCGCGGATCATCATCAGTGGGTGTCGTACGTATAAGAGATCCATCACCACTTCTTACAGGAATACAGGTATAGCTTTAAGTCTCCCACAGCGATGCCTTTGGCAACACCGTGGAGCTGGTTAAGAATCTGCCCCGCCCACGCTATGCACGTTCGCATCTCTCCTGGCAGCTGCTGCCCTCGCAGTTGGACACGGTCAAACCCAAAATTGTGTACACTGCTCGCAATCCGAAGGATCTGTGTGTATCCTACTATCACTACTGCAAGCTGCTCCATGGCATCAATGGAGACTTTGAGCAATTCGTGGAGCTCTTTCTGGGCGGGCACACGCCCATGGGCTCGTATTGGAAGCATGTGCTGCCCTTCTGGAAGCGCAGCTTCGATGAGAACGTTTTGTTTATCAAGTACGAGGATATGGTGCGTGACCTGCCCGCCGTGATAAGCCGGTGTGCTCAATTCCTCAATGTATCGGAGCTGCTCAATGAGGAGAACATGAAGAGCATCTGCCAGCATCTGAAGTTTGACAGCATGCAAAGCAATGGGGCCATCAATATGGAGAAGTTGATTCCGCAGCAGGAGACAAAGTTCATACGCAAGGGCAAGGTCGGCGACTGGCGGAATCACATGACCAATGAAATATCGGAACGTTTTGATTCCTGGTCCGAGCAACATTTAAGGGGAAGCGGCTTAAAATTCGACTACGATTAAGCCAATACAGATACATACATATGTACATACTTATGGTATGGTACTCAACGCTAGTTTAAATGGCACCTTTTTTCACTTACATATACATACATTTGTATACATGAAAATGTACATATATACATACATATAGCGGGTATACTGGATTTCAAGTTTTTACGTTTGCTGCCATCTGAATCTATGTATTTACATTGATCTGATAAGTTATTTTCACCACAAAGCAGCTGTAAGCGAACTCAGCTGTAAACACAACTCTTGTCTGTAAACGCTATGACGTCACAAAATCAAGCTGCTTGAGCGCGGGTTGAGCTTTATAAGAAAAGTTAAGCAATTTGAGTATTATCACTAACCAGACAACATGGTTAAATTGGTTAGTGGTATATTTCAGCTATTCATATTATTTAACTTATTGAATTCGTAATATCTAATTCATATATATTATATACAAACTATTATGTTTATCTAATTTTATACAATTATATTGAATACATTCATATTTAAAACAAATAAAATATGGTGTTTGACAAATTATTTGTTTTAATCAATATTTCAGTCACCAAATGATTTAGTGTTTTAATTTTCGTTCGTTTCTCAGTCGCTTTACATGCTTATGCACCTTCATATTTGCAAGCATTCTGGCATTGCACATTTCGCATTTAAGAGCGAGCGAGTTGCATTTTGCAATTCACCACTCTGTTATTGAGTAAGCTGGGCTGCTAAACAGCAGCATTGAATTTATTTGTTTTGTTAAATTTCTTGGTCGAAAATAAATGTAAATATGTAAATAAAACACTTATCATTTGTTACTAACCTAACTGAAGCGAATTGCATTTTGAACAAAGTCAGCGAGATTTACCGGTAAAAATACTGCATGCTGTTATTAACAGAACAGCGCCATGTTAAGTTTGCGAAAACCATAACATAAAACAAACAAAGAGAGCGCAACATACTAGACAAACTACTGCAGCGCTGCAGTTTTGCATCGCATTTCTTTGTTATAACAACAAGTGTTCGCAGTTAAAATACATTTGTATGCCAAAAGAAAGCATTGTTAAATAATCTCAGCAATTAACTGTTTGCCTGGGCAACAATACCCGTGTAGTGTGACTCATCAAAAAAGAAAAAGAAAAAAAACAAGAAATATTCACAGGGTAATTTTTCACAATGGCCGCCAACAACAATAGCAGCAGCAACAACGAAATCGAGTCCACCGATCAGGTAGGCATACGCATCGAGGCCGCCACCAATACAGACGACTTAACCGATGCCTTTGGCTCCGTGGGCACGAGCAGCACCAGTACATCGACCTCAACAGCTTATAAGCAAAGCCACTTTGGTAGCGGAGCCATCGGTCAGCTGGCCTCGAATGGCTACAGTTCATCTGGCTATCACAAGCATGTGGCCAAAATGGTGACTGAACGACATGCTGCCGAGTACAATATGCGGCACAAGAATCGCGGCATGGCCATCATCTTCAATCACGAGCACTTCGATGTGCCCACCTTGAAGTCGCGTGCGGGTACAAATGTGGACTGCGAGAACCTGTCTCGAGTGCTCAAGCAGCTGGATTTTGATGTCAGTGTGTACAAAGATTATCGCTATCAGGAGATTATGAGCACCATTAAGTATGCCGCGTCACAGGATCACACGCATAACGATTGCATATTGGTGGCAATACTCTCGCATGGTGAAATGGGATATATCTATGCCAAGGATACGCAATACAAGCTGGACAACATCTGGAGTCACTTCACTGCCAATCACTGCCCCACACTGGCGGGCAAGCCCAAGTTGTTCTTTATTCAGGCCTGCCAGGGTGACCGTCTGGATACGGGCGTCACCATGCAACGTGGTCGCACCGAGACGGATGGCGATTCCTCCATGAGCTACAAGATTCCCATCCATGCCGATTTCCTGATCGCCTACTCCACCATACCGGGATTCTACTCGTGGCGGAATACCACTCGTGGCAGTTGGTTCATGCAGAGCCTCTGCGCCGAGCTGGCCGCCAATGGCAAGCGTATGGACATTCTCACCCTCCTGACCTTCGTCTGCCAGCGTGTCGCTGTCGATTTCGAGTCCTGCACACCGGATACTCCAGAGATGCACCAGCAAAAGCAAATACCCTGCATCACAACGATGCTAACGCGTATTTTGCTGTTCAGCGATAAGGAAAAGTCACCGGCTGGACGCAATTAATTATTTACTATAAATACTACAGCTGACTAATCTGAGCTGCTGCTGAGTGAAGCAGTGTGATACAAAAACAAACAAACAAAAGTTGGATATGATAAGACCTCGAAAAAAAAACACGAAAATTTTTGCAATTTTTTACACCATTTTTAAAGATCCTATTTAGAGCAATTTTCCTATGCCAGCTCCTGCCATGTCTTTATGCTATGTGTCTATTGTCCGTCATACTTTATATATATATACATACATATATAATTATATAACAATTTATATCTCTTAATATTGTTAAGCGCAAAATATAATCTCTAAATTTTTACACACATTTTTTATACTTTTATAAATACTCCAAATAATGTTAGAATGACAAAACAAAGAACAATTAGTTTGATTTGCTAAATAAAGTATTTTAAATTAAATCAATTGGCCTTTGCTTTGCTTGTAACTCGAATCACACCATTTAGGAACGTGCACGACCGCAAGTGAAGGAAATTGTACCGATTTAGGTGCGTCAAGTTGAGCCACGTTCGCTGAAAAGGAATTGACGGATATGTGACAAAATTGGCCAGTGGACGACCTCGTGGCACCTTGAACATCTATTGTGAATGGTCGCACATGATATGATATTTTAGTAATATATGCAGGTATGTGTAGAATTATTCTTGAACAGGCTCAACAACCATGTCAATTAACATAAATATGTATGTATGTATGTCCTTTAATTGCAAGCGCAAGTCAAAATAGTTTCAAAACATCGATAACAAACAGATAAAACGTATCGAACTTCAATATTTGAACTTGCTATTTTCGCACATCTCAAAAGCAACTAAATTGGCAAGCTGTGAAATAGTTTACTTTTAAGATTAACACTAAAGCTTGTATATATACATATGTATACACATTTAATTTAATTAATATTCAACATCACATTTCACTTTGAAATTAGGAATCGTATCCACGGAGTAAAATGCGCAGCAAAGCGACGTGCGTGAGTATGTATGAGTGTGTGTGTTTTTCTATTAATATATGTACATATATACATATGTATGTATGCATGCATAGCGACAGGTTGACAGAAAAATGGTACGGAATACAGGGTATTTCACAGTCACAGTCGTTTTTTATGTTAGCATCACTTCAATTTATTCGTTAAGGCTTGACACGACAGATTCCAAAAATAAAAAAACATTGAATTTGACTTAAAGCACTATGGGGACGTTGGCTCTCTCAATCGGCACATCAATCGTTAGAGGCTAGATAAATGCACGTTTCTGATAGAAAGTAATTTAAATTCAAAATCAAATAGAACGTAGAATTTAGCTCACAATTTTGATAGGTTGCTCGCTTAGATGTGACCGCCAGCCTTTAGCTTGGCCACCAGAGCATCCACGTCGGCAACGACGGCGCCCGCTTGGCGCACTGGTGGATCCTCAACAGATATAATCTCAATGCGTGGCGTAGTATCAACGCCCAGATCTTTGGGCGTCACCTTCTTCAGTGGCTTCTTCTTGGCCTTCATGATGTTAGGTAACGTGGCATAACGTGGCGTATTCAAGCGCAAATCCGCGCTCAGCACCGCTGGCAATTTGGTTTTGATGGTCTCCAAGCCGCCGTCAATTTCACGGGCAATCGTTAGGCCCGCATCCGTCTTCTCCACCTTGTTGCAGAATGTGCCCTGGGGCCAGTCCAACACGGCGGCGGTCATCTGTGCCGTCTGATTGGCATCATCATCAATTGCCTGCTTGCCCAATATAACCAAGTCGGCCTTCTCGTCCAGTGCCAGCTTGGCAAGTATTTTGGACACATGAATCGGCTGCAACAGATCGTATTCGGCGGCTGGCACCTCAACGTGCACGCCACGATCTGCGCCCATGGCCAAGGCAGTGCGGATGACCTCTTGCGATTGCGTGGGACCCACAGAGACAGCAATCACCTCAGAGGCCAGCTTCTTCTCCTTCATCTTGACGGCCTCCTCGACGGCGATCTCGTCGAAGGGATTCATGGAGTGCTTAACACCTTGAGTAACAACGCCATTTTTCTCCGGCTTCACGCGCACCTAGGCAAGTCCCAATCGAAAGACATTTAATTAAGAATAATAAAAACGATTACGCAAAACGAAGCGCAACAAGTGATAAGAGGAAGAACCTAACGGAGCTCCATACTAAATTTACTTACCTTAACGGCATAGTCGATCACACGCTTTACACCAACCAAAACACGAGCCATTTTCTAAGAAATTAGAAATCAATAATTATATATGTAATTTTATTAATCGTGCTCTATGTTAATTTACCTTCCGAGCAACAGCAGATATTGTTAAATATGAGAGGGGGTGGTTGGGGGTCCAAAGGTTGTATTCGACGCAGCGTTGCCACTCCCAGAATGGCGTGGCCACACTGTTAAACATCAAGCTGATCATTAAAGATGGTATACTGGTCGCAATTATTGAGACTAAAAGATATATTTGCTATATTATCATTGATCATTTATATGAAAAATATATAAATATATTTATTTATATTGCAAAATAAAATGTGCAACATAGAAGAAGGTTGTTTGCTTGCTGATTTTTGCGTGGCATATGCGTTGCGTACCCTGCTTGAGCGCGCAGCTTAACAGCTGTTTGGCCAAATTTTTTTTTAGCATAAATTAAAGTGAAAGTGTGAAGCACAGAGTATTTCGGAGGAGCTATCATTCCATATACAACACAATTCAAGACTTAAAAAGATGACCACAAACGCTCCGCTTATTATGCGAATAATGGCATTGTCCATTAACACGGCCAAACGGGCTGGCGTAATCATACGTGATGTCCTCAAGCAGGGCGATCTCGGAATCGTGGATAAGGGCAAGAATGATCCGCAGACAGAAGCCGACCGTTCGGCACAACGATGCATCATTGCATCGTTGGCAAAGAAATTTCCTAGCATAAAGATTATCGGTGAGGAGGGTGGCTCCGATTTGAATGTATGCGATGAATGGTTGGTGAGCGAACTGGATGAAACATTCCTCAGGCAAGACTGCCCGGCGGATTGGAGGGATGCACAACCGGAGGACTTTGTCATATGGGTTGATCCCTTAGATGGCACTGCTGAGTATACACAAGGTATACACTCGAACAATGAAACCAAATTCAATCTCAAAACAGATTATATTATAGGATTTGTGGAGCATGTGACGGTGCTCATTGGCATAGCCGTAAAGAACTCAGCTGTGGGTGGCATTATTCACCAGCCATTTTATAAACAATCCAGCGGCGAGCTGGGCCGTACCATTTGGGGTCTCAAAGGCTTGGGCACTGGCGGATTTACGGCTGTCAAACCGCCGGCAAATGAATTTATTATTACAACCACCCGCTCGCACTCGAATGCACTGCATCAAAAGGCAGTGGATGTATTCAATGCCAGCAAAGTGCTAAAGGTGGGCGGCGCTGGCTTCAAAGTGTTGCAGCTGCTCGAGGGCAAGGCACACGCTTATGTCTTTGCCACGCCCGGTTGCAAGAAATGGGACACTTGTGCACCGGAAGCTGTGCTAGAGGCCAGTGGTGGAACCCTAACTAACATCAATGGCGAGCACTACGAGTACCATGAGAATGTGGAGCATGTCAATGGACGGGGAGTGCTTGCCAGCGTTGGCAACAATCACCAAGAGCTGGTGGAGAAGATCCCGCTAGAAGTACGACAAGCCGTAGGTACTAAACAAACGTAATCCGTTATAGAATTTCTTTATTTTTGCTTTGTATTTTGTTTTTGTTTTTGCACTAAGCACATACAATTATAAATTAAGTAATAACAGTGAGAGAGAAGTAAAAATTTGGATAATGCTTTATCAATTATTAAAAAAGTACAAGATATACAAATAATTATTATAATCGTGAACGTGAATCGACAGTTTTACTTTTCGGAACTGCTGTTGATGGAGCTGTTGTTGGAATTGTTAACGAACCGATTGCGCTTGGCCTTAGCCACTTTGCAGGAGTTGACGGAGGCGGCAAAGCGCAGCGATTTTACAGATTCCTGAAAGCAATCCTGGAATGGTGAGACATTGATAAACATGAGGGTCTTGGAATTACCACCCAATGCCGGCATCAACAAATGTGTCAGCTTTGAGTTACGATACGGTATGTGATCCTGTTTTTGGAGCAGCGCCAAAATCACATTCGTCAGTTCGGAGAGCGAACGATTTATGTTTTTGGTTTCGGTCATTCGGATGCTGGTCTTTGGCGATTCCGAGCCGGCCAAATCGACTAAGTTGATTGATCCTATAGACGTCTCCTGTTTCTCAGCATGGTGGCCGATCAGTTCCAGCTTGGTGACCGCATGGGAGCGCGACGAGCGCTCGTTGCCCACTGTGGATGCTGTGGCACGATTCATTTTGGCCAACTCCATCAGCTGGCGCAAGTGATTGGGATCTGTAACCGTTTCCTCCGTTATGTTCGATACATAGATCTCATTCTTGTTGCAATTCTTGGCCATCCGGATTTCCATTTCCTTTTGATCATTGCTCAGCAGATCGTACAGCACTTCATTGTAGATTTCCAAAAATGTCGCCTTTATAACATATTCCCAGCCCAAATTACGATAGTTTCTAATGGAGTCAAAGAGTAGGTCGACTGTGCGTGGTATAACGCCCACATTGTCTGGCACACCATCCATCGTGTACGTCTTTCCACTGCCCGTCTGGCCGTAGGCAAAGATGCATATATTGTAGCCGTCGAGTGCTGACTGAATCAGTGGAGCAACCATTTCGAAAATATGAATTTGATTCGAATTGGGATGAAAGACCTGATCGAAATTGAATATCTGTTGGCCCATCTTGCTCTTGGCCTGGGCATCTAAGCTCTGCAGCTCCACTGTCGCCTCGTCATGGTATATCCAATTGCACATCAAACGGCCCGCTTCAGATTCTAGCGGCGGACGCACTCGGCAGAAGACTCTTATATTGCCGCGCAAATCCATGACGACGTTGTGCAGTTCCTTGCGCTCGATGTTCGACTGGAATAGTTGCTCCCTGCACGTATTCAGTTCGGCTGCCAACTGTTCATTGCTTCGTATGAGCTCCTCATTTCGCCTACGCAGATGCTGGACCTCAGTGGAGAGGAACTCATGCTCAGATTTAATATCCTGTAATACAGTATATGTAATCCCGTGCTCTGCCATGCATTAGCTCTGTTGGCTTACCTGATGCGTAACTTTAAGTTCTTGCAACTCCAGTCGTGTTTCACCCAATGTGCTGGTTATCATCTCAATTTTCTCCGTCTGCTGCTTCACCTGGCGCTGCAGACACTCGTTATCCGTTTGCGCATGCTTAAGCGTTGATTCCGTTTCAATTAGCTTGGCTTGCGTCTCTTCCAGTTGCATGGGCAATGATTCCAGTTCGCCCATGTCATCTACTTGCTTCTCATATTTTGTTTTGAGCGCCTTGTGCTTCTCCAGCAAGTCGTGAAAACGCGCTTTAAAGTCATAAGGAGCAATGCGCTTGGGTGCAGATGCGGCGCCACCAGCAGCGCTTGCAGAGGATTTCGATTTGTTAGTCGTCGCTGTCGCTGCTGCAGTGCGAGGCAATGGACGCTGAGACGTTGTGACGCTAGCCGGTGCAGGCGCCGACCCTGCAACAGGGCGTTTAACTGGTGCAGATCCGGCGCGAACCGTACGAGCCGCAGTGGTCTGACTCGTCGTTGTCGTTGGTGGTCCTGCAGCACGTCGGGGGAATTTCGTTGGTATAGTTGGCAGATTGGGCATACCGTTCCGCTTCAGATTCTGCCGCATCTCGCTTATATCACAAGCCGAACGACTGCGTCGCAATTTCGCCCGGTTCGTCGCACTCGTCGATTTCACTGGATCGGGCGAAGCGGCTCGAACTGTGTGTTCGATATGATTTAAAGTCAAATAATGAAATAAGGAATAACAAAAATATAAAGACTTACCTCCGTGTCCTTGTCGCTTCAATGTCTGCGGTATGATGTTTTGCAAGTCTCTCGTTAGCGGCTGAATTGTTGTGGATCCACTGTATGTGGAATTCGCATTTGTAGCCGCTTTTATACGATCAGTGGGTAATATTTGTTTAATTGACGGCATGGGACGCTTTAGACCCGTAGGCTTAGGTAAACGTGATTCCATTTTAGTTTTGTCCTATTTACGTAAATTGTTTTTCAAGAAGTCCAATTCGGCGATCCGCAAATCCAAGCGACGCCAATTTTACATTCGCGCCGTTAATTTTGGATGTAGGGCTGCATAGATGTATCGATATTGGTATCAAGAGTAATCAGTGTCCAGTTAGTTTTTTCTCGATTTGGCGTTTTCTAGCACTGTTTAGATTTGATTTTTTCGAAGGCGGTTTTATATTTTGTAGGCTTTTTGCCTACAGCACTTGATAATTTTTGCAATTATTGAGTCATGATATTCCCTTCATTAATGTATTATTCAAAAAAAGGAACCTTAAAAATAAATAGATAGCATAAAGCAACATTAATTAACCTATTATGCAGTTATTTACCTTAAAACGCAAGGATTTACAATTAAAAGTTTAAAAACGAATTATGACAAATCGATAACAATATAAATTTTAAAACTGTGTATAGTATGATATTAACGGCAGGCTAGTCATTCTGGTTTCTTAACAAATCAAAAATGAGATATTTGTGTTTATTTCAGACATGTCTAAGTATTCAAATGCAAATTAATTTGATGCGTGCACTGGAAATAGCTTATCGCATATCTTCGATAACTTGTAAATGCGATAATAAAATGCTTGCTATGGAAACATGGCAATAGTAAAAAAAATTAAAATTTGATTTGTGCAACAACAAAAAAAATATAAAAGAAGAAACGCTCGAAGCAGGTCCGCCAGCGACCACAAAAAATAGATTTCGTGATGACGGTGCATGGGCATGCCGAGCTCAAGGAGATGCAGATTTTTGAGCTTCGTCCGCTTATTACGAATTTCAGCTGTAAGCTCTCCACCGTCACAGTCACACCGTTCGATGAAAAGCAGTTCCTGTGCCTGGTCAGCGAGGAAAATGAAATCGTGCTGCGTTATATCAGTGCCAGCGGTGGCCAGGAGGTGCTCAAGATGATCTCCTGGTTCCGACGCACCAATCGTGTCATACACGATGTCTGCTTTGATCCTGCTGGTATTTGGCTGCTCGTTCTGTGTAAGTATGTGTGCCGTTGTGTGCTGCTGCTAAGGGCAGCTGGTGCAGGTGTATGTGTGCTAGGGGTGCTAGGGTTGGGGGTTGCTACTACATAGTAAAGCCTAAAATTACTTTTGATGCTGTTGGTGGGAGTGTTTGAGTGTGTTTGTGTTTGAGTGTGTGCGATTTACATTATTGATTTTCTTGAACACATTTTGTTTTGATTGACTGCTTCGCCAGCGCGATGGGGAGGCAGGTCTATTAAAGTGTTACTGAACCCAGCGCTAACCATGCCCATTGCCCCCTATCTATCAACAGGTTTCGACAATACGCTGCATATTGTGCCTGCCCTGTCTATGGTCGATAAGTCCCACGATTTGGCCAGCTGTTCACTGTATAGCACCACACAGGTGACGTCCTATATAATACCATTTGTTGGCCCCCACGAATGCCCCAACTCGAAGAAATGTCCCAATTACTCGACGGCAGAGAGTGAAAGTCAGGAGCATCAATGGAACTTGGATCAGGTGGCTGAGCAAATGCAGCATGTTAAGCTGGACAAAGAAGCTGAAAATGTGGACGAGGAAGAACCCTTGGGGCATGAGCTCCCAGAGCATTTGTTAGCCAATCCCGATTCGATGGATATGCCCGGAGAATCTGTCCAAGTACAAGCTCCACCCTTTGATGCAACGGGCAATAGCCAGGTCATGGCCACCTCATTCATGGCATCCAAGACATGCCCGTATCCGCTGTCAGTGGTGTGGTGGAAAACGTATTATGGGCTGAATCGTGCCATCATTGGCTATTCGGATGGCTCTATTTGCTTCGTGGGCCTGAGTCCAAATTGCCCAATGATTGCCAGTACAGCCATTCAGACTGGTTCCGTGGTGCGTTTGACAATATGCAAGGACAACACTTTCGATGGAGTCATGCTGCTGGTGAGCTAATGTCACTGTTTCATGAAAGGAAGTCCATTAAATGTATTTTATCCTTCTATATGACCAGATCACATCCTCCGTAAAGGCACAGTTCAAGTTGCTGTTGGAGCAGAAGGCCATAAAGTATGTCTATCCTGGTGATAGTTCGCCAACGACTCGCGAGGGTGCGTGGCAGATTGTGATGTCTGTGCACGGAAAGAATCAAAGCGGACCTAGCTATGATGTCAGGCAAAGCAACAGCTCGGATCCGGCCTCGGATAGCAGCCAATTAGAAGAGGATGTTTTTGCCCCACCCGCCAGCGAAGAGGTTGCTCCAAGCACACAAGCAGTTCCGCCTTCCACCTGCGTAGATGAGTCCAATGTGGCGGTGGGCAACGAAGAATCCACAATACCGTCATCGTCATCATCACCGCCACCGCCTCCATCCTTTGCTGAGAGCACCGGCGTTCGTTTTCAACAGCAACAAATTGGCGTAAATAGCTTCGATGGCTTTTTGCCAGCCACCCGAGCACGACTGGCTTCGCTCAAAAGTCTTGGGTCCAAGAAATTGCAGGCCATCAAAATGCGATTATCCGATCAGCGGCAGAAAATAGATGAATGTAAGTGTGAATATATGTAAATTTATATATATGTGCGTCAATATATATTTATGTTTAATTGCAGTCATGCCGGAGGCAAACATGGGCACATTTGCTATTATGGACTCGCCATCGGTTACGCCGGAGCCTCTGGGGAATACGAACGGCTCGTTTTATAACATACAGAATCTGCGTAGCACTTATCTGTTAAGCGCCTTGCACAGCACTAACTGCAGCTTAACAGTGCATCGAATTGATATCAACCTGAAGCCATTGTTCATATATAAGATACCCCAGCACTGTGTGGATATCCTGATTAGCTCTAACATACTGTATGGCATACAATATGTGGATCTGCATCAGCGCAGCGAATCGGGCGCTTCGACGGCGGCATCGTCGCTCGAAGAGCCGCTGATGGCGAACACCGAGAAGGAGAGTCTAGATGCCGACACCGAGAAGCTGGAGCAGACGAATAAAAGCGACGAGACAAGCGCGACAAGCACTAGTAATGCGTCGAGCATCGATCAAAGCGATATGCCCACCAATGCGATCAATGCGGTTAGCGTGATCAGCAGTGCAATGGCCTCGCTGCACACCGCCGAAGATGATGTAAATTGTGCTGAAATAGTTTCCAATATATATACACTAATTCATTCTCTTTACCTATCCTCGCAGCGTTTCAATCAGCAGGCGCAGCTGGCGCTGTTTCGCTTTGAGCAGGAGACTGTGCTGCAGCTTTATCAAATGGCGCAATTTCGAAGTCTGGGTGGCAACAACAACAATGCCGAGTCTCTGACAAAGGAGGAGAAGGCAAAGGCATTCGAGATCAAGGACATCCATACCCCAATGGACTACGTACAGTTCTATGAATCGGCGGATAGCAGTAATGAATACTCGTTGCGGCAAATGGAGATAATGCAGGCCGAGTTTCCCAAGATCAACTATGATCCTTGCTATGTCATAACCAACAAGAATGTCTATACCATACAGTTGAAGTGAGTACAGAAAGACGCATAGATGAAGCTTATATATTTAATATCTGATATCCCTGCAGAAAGGAGCCATTTGAATTGTTTTTGGATGCTGCGCTGATGAGCGAGTGGAATCAGTGCCGCGAGTTTTGCAACACTTTCGATCTAACCTTCGAGCATTGCATTGAGTTTGCCGGCGATTATTTGCTGCGTCGCAAAAAGGTTACCCAGGCCTTGATCACGTACAATGTGGCGCGCGTTAAGCCCATTCGAACAGCCCTGAAGCTTGCGATGTATGGACATACGTATGCGCTGATGCAGCTGAGCGCCATGGCCTTGAAATCATCTTATATATTGCGATCGACCTACTTGGCCCATCCGTTGCTGAAGGACATTCAATCGGATATCACATATCGGCATTCGGAGGATGTGCGCGACATCTTGCAAGCGAAGGTGAAAGATGAGAGCGTTGTGGAGAATACTGGAGCATCCTGCAGCGATTATCATTATGGTGTCGATGAGTCCATAAGTGCATTACAAATGTCGCCCTCATCCCAGTTTCATTTGGCCAATTTACTGTTGATTACTCTGGCCGAGAAGGCAGTCAACGATAAGAACTATCTGCCTTTGTGGTAGGTGAATGATGTCTTATATATTGAAATTTAATTAATGTGAAATTTAATTTTAGGAACTTTTTGGTCACCAACACAAAGTATCATACCAACATGACCAGCATTGTACTCTGCCAGAGCGGTCTCTTTTCGGCCGCAATTATTTTGGCAAAGGTGCGCGGCGTCTGCTTGGACACCTTCAATGCGTTGGTCAGTGTTGTTGCCCAGGAGTTTGGCTGGTATAACGAGCTCAACGTCTGCCTGTACAACCTAAGCGAAAATATATTTATGGAGACAATCACATACTTGCCGCACGTGTCGATGGATTACTTTACCTTCATACAGGACAAACTGGAGCATATTCGGCCCTGTGTACTGCAGGTGAGCTCCTTGTTGCTTTAACCCTCTTTGATATCCCTACTAATGTGAGTTCCTTGTCCGTTTGCAGCGCCTTGCCATGCAGCTGAATCCCTTTGCGCCCGCGTTGCGTCCAATTGTTTCGCACAGCAGCAGCTCAAGCAACAATGACAATAATGAACATATATTTGAGTTCAGCAAATGCCTAATCGAAACCTATTTGGCTGTGCTCACACATATAGAAGCGCAGCGTGTCAAGCACGACTCTATTGTAAATGCTTTGTCAAACTTTCGCATCAGCTACGAGGACAATCAGGCAAGTGGGACGGACCATTGAGCAATAGACAACATGTAAATCTAACTATGAATTGTTTATATTATTAGTTTGCCATTGAATCGTCACGTTTCAAGCCCATCTCGGCTGGCTGTGCCTATTGCGCCTGTGTTGTGGATGGTGTGGCTTACTTCTGGGGCTCGAGCGGTGTGCCCTGCTGCTACAGCGCCCAGAAATCAACAGGTAGGATATTCTATACATGCTCATTATGTATATAAACGTATGCATGTTCCTATTTCATGTAGAACCACCGGAGCCTGCACATGCGGTGAAGACATTGGAGCTGCTGTCGCAACTCGATTTGGAGGTGCATGCGGTCAAGTGTGGACGCCAGCATACACTCATACTCACCAATAATGGCGTAGGTTTTGCTCTCTCGGC